GAGACCTGAGGCATATGGTAGACCACACTCTGGACGCTGTATGAGAATACCTATGGAAAAAATATAACAAGCAATTTGGGGGACCTGGGATTCGAACCCAGGTCCCATTAGACAATACATTAACCTGCTTGCCAACTCAACCAACGCGTTTTATTGTTAGTGGAACACACAATGAATATTATATTGGAAATTCAATTATTATGCTGGAAAAATAAAAAAAATGGCGTGCTGTTTGAATCAACCAATCAGGAGAAGACACATAATCGTCTTCTTCGTTGAAAAGCCTGGATATTTACCTGCGGATTTTATCCGCAACTAAATTCCCAGGTTCATCCTAAAATGAGCTACAGGTCATGCAAACGCAAACGGAGGCCATCACTGTGTTCGTTTCTCCTCCCTGAACACAACTATGGCCATGGTTCGTCCTAATTGTTCCTGCAAAACAAAAACCCAAATGCAAACCTCCAAAACCCTAGGTTCGGGTAGGGAGATATAGGCTACAAAAATCCAATTGAATAATGCAGAATGATTGGAAATTGAATTGTAAACATGATTGTACAAACGATTTGTCCAAAAGGTGCCAGAATATGGAGTCACGATTTCATGTTCAAAGTGACTTTTAGGACGACTTACAATGAGTTTGGTGACGTTCCAAGGCTTGGTTTTGATTCCTTTGGCTCCAGTGGACGTCAGGCAAGGAAGCTACGTTGAGATTTTGCCTTGAATTAACCTCTAAACAAGATTTCGATCTCCACTTTTTCCAAGCTTTTTTCAGTTTTGGTTTGGCCGTTTTTTTGCCACTTTCAGGTCGTGTCCTGTATGCCTTTAGCTTGTACATGTATAATGGAATCAATTAGGTTAAACTTTGGGCTTCCAATCCTTGTGCATTGATGATTCAAGATATGATTTGATCACCATTAACAAAGCTTCCATATTTGTCTCAAATCAAATATTTTGTACATAACACGGCATGATTCGAATTTGATTTGGTCCATGATGATACTTGAAGCCTATATCAATCAAAAAGATTCTATTCCATCAATTTTTGGATTTTATTTGAATTAATATTGATTTAAAATGAATTAATTCAATAAAAATAAAATAAAATAGAAAAATTAATGAATGGACATGACACTGAAGATAGGACACGTGTGTGGTGTGACAAGATCAAATTAAGTGGAAAAAAGTGGGCCCTTTTGTCAAAAATTGGAGTTTTGGGGATAATTGACTTTTGGCACTTTTGGAAAAATGCCCAACTTCAACAATGCATGACTTCTTCAATTTTGAACTTTTGGAAGTTTTCTTGGACTTTTTAGAAACCTTGAGATGTCCTATAATCAACCCTTTTGGTCTCATCTCATTTTGATATTCCATGCTCAAGTTATAAGCTTTGGCAAAAAAGGTGTTTTTGTTGACTTTCAAAAATGACCTATAATGTCCGAATTTGTAACTTTTTGTGAGAGCATTTCTTGATCTTGGGGTGTGAAGATGGATTGTAGGAAATTGAATCCTCTTTAAAATGATCTTTGGATGTGTCATTTCTCATAAAGTATGAGAAAGTTATGCTTAGTCAAAGTTGAGTTGACTTTTCCTATAAAACCCTAATTTAGCAACTTTTGAATCTTGATGAATCTTGAGCAATCCTTGATGAATCATGATCAACCCTTGATAAAATGATGAATTATCCTTCAAAATGAGAATGTTGACAAAAAATCTCGAGGTTTGACTGTTTGTAGGTCACAGTTGACTTTTGCCCTAGCACAATCGATTTTTGGGCCTCTTGAGCAACTGACTGACCAAAATTTCTCTGCAAGGCTTGAAATTTGACATGGATGAACTTGAGAACTTATTAGGACATTGGGGAGTATTTGAGGTCATTTGGATGTAAGGACCTTGATGCAACACAAAACCCTAATTTTGAATTGACTGCCTTAGGAGGATGATTTGACTGTCCAACTCTTGAGTAATTTGAGCCACTTGGAGATTATTCTTGACATGTCTTGAGAAATATGGGAGGGTAAA